GGGATGCACTTAGCTCCCTGTCAGCCCCTCATCCCCTAGGGAGGATTAGGTAGTCCCCTTTCCTAGCACAGCATTGGCTAGCGCACATGGTGAGCCCTCCAAGTCAGGCTATGTCTGATTATCTTTGTGATCCTGGAACTTACGACAAACCAGGAATAAAATAGACCAGAGTAGATGGATGTTGACTTATGGGTGAAATTGAAGGACTACAGCTATATAACCATGCCATTTCCCAGGGATGTTAACGGGTTTATACTGACACTCCACTGTATCCTTGGACTGATGCCCAGATCTCTGGAGTCTTGGTGCAGTGTTCCTTTGCATGCCTTACTGTCCTCTGCATCAGGTACTCTGCAAACAACTGCCAACCAGCAATTGGTGCAAGCTGTATTTGCTTACTCGATGGTGTAAAATCAGCACAAAGATGCAACACAGGAGTTATAGAGCACTGCCTTCCTATATCACCGATAACACAGATGTAGTTGCAGAGTATACACAGAAACCAAAAAGTAATAATAAGAGGCCCTTGTTGATGGATCACTCAGGCCTCACTAGAGGTGAGGAACAAATACGCATCCCACATTGCAGTGACACAGGTACGTGAGCACGTGGGTAATCTCACACTGAGTGTCTACCAGAGTTCTCTCCTAAACTTCTTGTCAACTATTCCAGCAGACAATTTTTGCTCACTTTTCAGCCATCTCTGTTTCCAGGTTTCTGGAAGTCCAAGTTCCCTCTCTGTCTTTAGGAACTGGTCTGAAGTCCAGCTGCCATCCAGAAGTTAGTGGGTGGCTCTGTCCTCTGGACAAGGTGCTGTGGTCCCAGTCCAGGATCTGAGTTGAATCTCAATACAGGTCATGTATTGAGCCCAAACAGGCTTATTTATTTCTTGATAGTCTGGGTTTCTGTACCAGATTTGAACTAACCAGCTCACAAGCCTTACAAAACTGAACATCTCGCTAAGACTCAGTTTCCCCTCTGTAACTGTGAATAATTATGGGGCCTATTCACAGGTTGTTATTAAGGGGAAATTACACATAATGGCCGATACAAAGTCAGCCTTTCCTTCCCTTCCAGATTGAGAGGATCACAGTTTACGAAACATACACAGGATGGCCCTTGGTGGGAGGGAGGGTGTGGTAGAGAATACTGCATCCAACATTAGTCAGTCAACCATTCTGATCAAGCAGTTACTTTGTGCCAGGTACTGGGGATAGACAGAAGAAAAACAATTGACAGTGGAGGCAGACACACATGCAAACAAGCAGTGACAATACAATATGAGAAGTGCAGTAGCAGAGGTCGCCTCAAGGTGGTTAGATCCTAGCACTGCCTGGGGCTGTGAAAGAAGGCTTCCTAGCGGGGCTGATGCTCAAGCTGAGACTAAAGGAAAAACTCTCAAAAGCCAGATGGGAAGGTGTTCCAGGGAGAGTGAACATCAGAGTTGGAGGAGCATCGACTCGATCAGAGCAGCAGGATAGCACAGTGACTGAGAACTCAAGCTCTAAAATCAGAGAGATCCTGGATTTTAACCTCAGCACCATCATGCACTAACTGGTCACCATGAACCAGTTTCTTAACCTCCCTAAGCTTCAGCTATAAAATAGAGATAATAATAGTACCTGCCTCAAAGGGCTGTTTTCGGAATTAAAGGAGACAACGCACAGACCAGCTAGCGCAGCGCCTCACACAGTAAAATATTATAATAGCAAATGTTTATTGAGCTCCTTCTCAATACATGTTGTGTATTATTATTATCTGGGAAATGAGGTGTGCCCGCCTAATGAGATTAAATTGTATCCATTAGCAGGAAGGAGCCCTGGAAGAGTTTAAGCAGGGGAGTGAGCTGATCATATCTGATTGTTAGAAACCTCCCTAGGATATTGGTGGAGTGCAGGGTGGGCTGTAAGCGGGGGTGGGGGGGGAGGGCTCCAGGAATGATGATGGTTAAGGAGGCCTCAGAGGCAAAGGGACCCTAATGATGAGTTTGGGCAGCAGTAAGCCAGAGAGAAAGAAAGGAGACCGACCCCAGAGGTTCTTGGGAAGAGCAATCATTGGGACACCGTGACCATTCATGTGGGGTGGGGCAGGGCGGTAAGAGAGGGTCGGGAGCTTCTCCCAGATTCCTGAGAAGTAGGAGAAGTAAGTGTGGATGGCAAAATGCTGAGATCAGCTTTGGTCATGCCGAGGTGCTCCCAGCGGACAGGTCAATTGGTCTGGGGTCTGGAGCTCAGTGGAAATGCTTAGAGGAGCTATGAAGACGGGGAGTTCATATGCAGTGAAAACCTAAGTCATGAGGCACATGTTACTGCAGAAAAACTAGCAGAGAGAGAGAGACTCCCGGGGAACACCAGCATTTAAGGGATGGGTGAAAGGAAGAATATCGCAGTGGAGAGAAAACACAAGTAGGAGAACAAGGAGCAACTGCTGTCATGGAATCTTCAAGAAGGGAGTGCAAAATGCAGCAGCAAGATCAAGAGAGACACAAACAGAAAAGTGGCTGATGGTTTGGCATTGGGGTGTGGGGGGACAGTGTTAGGGACATGGAAATGAGACTTCCATGAATTAAGGAATAAATAAGAGGTAGAGATAAATATAATCTACTCTTTTGAGAAACTTGGCTTTGAAGAAATTAAAAAAAATACATGGCAATAGTTACAGGGGATGTGGAGTCAGAGAGGGTCATTTTAGTTAAATATGAAAGACAAGCTATCTTTATACTGAGAAGAATGAGCTTACAAAAAGGAAGAATATGTTTATCTCCTGGAATTCTTCCTAGACCGCATCTCATTTCCCCATCTCTAGACCCCTCACCCTCAATTCCATTTTCAGTGGCTTTTCATGCCTCAACTCCCAGGCCTCCTCTCAGAGCCCCACCTTTACTGACTCGCCTGAGGCCTGACCCTCCCCCTTGACACAATCTCGACAGTCTACCTTGAGCCCCACACATAACTATTTCAGTAAGAGATGTTGCTGGCTTCAACCCAATCCTGCCTTCATGTCCCCTTGAGACTCCCACGGCAGACCAAGGCAGGGGGCAGAGAGTCCTCTGGAGACTAATTGATTCCCGGGATCCTGGCATTCATCTCCACAGAAGTCATCATGTGTCTGTAGGTGAGCAACATCCCATGGGGCACATACTCTGTACAAGCCCAGCTGCATCCTCTGTAGCTGATAGCCATGAACACAACCTCACATGCCCGCTAGTTTGCAAATGCTCCAGCCTAATACATCCACTGCACCTAACCAAAAAAAAAGGTAGATTCTTCCAGATTGCCTAGCTCTCTGCTCCTTAAAGTCCACAGAGAAATCTGGACAAGCCACTAGAAAGCCCCTGCCAAAGCTGGAGAAGACTAAAGCCAGCCTGCACGTACAGCAGGGACACAGTACCCAAAGCAGCCCATCTCTGGGATCACATCCAGCCAGACACACCAGCCTTGAATCTCATCTTCAGTTCTCAGGCCCTACTTGGGGCAGAGGCTCTAAAGGTGAGCTATAGAAAGTTGTGAATGTCAGAGAGCTATTAATGGGTGTGAAGAGGAGAGTTTCTGTTTCCTATTCCAGAAAATAAGAAATAAGGGATCACCTGATGCCAGACCATGAATCAAACTGCCCAGGTCACAGCTATGGCTGAGGGAGTGGGCAGAGCACATGAATTCCCCCTAATAGAGCTGTCTCATGAACTGGGCAGAAGGTGCTGGGAGATGGGTGCTCTCTCCACTGCTCATGTTTCCTCTTGGTCATCACTTCCCCTGAATGGAGAGACACAGCCCCACTGTCACCTGGAAGATCCAGACCCAAGGATCTGCCTCATCTACTCCTTTCTTCACCATCCCCAGGATCTACGACAGCCATAGAATTTGCTACAAGGTATTGTCATACAGGATAGAAATATCACACACCATACTGCATCTTGTGTAAGTAGTGGTGCAGAACAATAAAAATATTCTCCAAGCCCCAAACCAAGACGCACACACACACACACACACAGAGCCATCATCTTGTGGTGAATTTCCACAGTTCCTCCTTCCCAGGAAATAAGTTTAGGCAACACCGGGACCCACAGATTCCAGTCAACTGACAACCAGGAGCACTGAGATTACATATTTATTTGTGTATCTCTACCGTACTCCACCCCTCCTGTCCCTGCTCCCAGAAGGCTTCATGCTGAACCTTTAAACCTGTACCCACCTCTTGTTTTATGAGTCCACAGACATCCAAGTGGGAATTTCAAGTTCTAGACCAGTGCTGTTCAACAGAGATTTCTGTGAATATATTTTATATCCACAAGGTACAACATGGTAACCAGTGGCCTCTAAGCACTTGATATGTGGCTGGTGCAACTAAGGAACTGAATTTTTTATTTTATTTCATTTTAATTAGTTTAAATTTAAATAGCCATGTATGTCTAGTGGCTAATATATTGGGCAGTGCTATCTAAATAACTCCAGCTAAGCGGACTCTAGCACCAGAGTGAAAAGACTGAGCCTTTCAGAATGGTGGGAGCAGGCTCTCCAGGAGAGGGACCAGGCAAAGATGCATCAGGTGCAGTAACTGCCTGCTCCAAGGGGAACCATGGCAGAATGGTCAGAGGCAGCTGAAGACGACCTTGAGAATGAGGCGGGAGCAACACAGGACCTAATGGCATCCTGATAGAGTATGAGATACAAAAATGGAGTAAAAGGAGGGGTGAGGATGGAGGTGGATGAGGTGCAGGGAGAAGATACCTCCCTGTGGGTTTAGTACTAACACCAGCCTAGAGTGTTCTAAATCCTCCTTAGACCCTTCTCCCCTTCCCCTCATCACTATAAATGTTAATAGAACGACCACTAAACATCTTCTAGAGCAAACCCCTCACTCTGCAGAGGAATAAACTGAGGCCCAGAGAGGTAACTGAGTTGTGCAGCGCCGTATATTGAATCTGTAGCAGAATCAGGACCAGAACAGCCTTTTCCCCACTCCCACCCCATGTGCCCTCCTCCCACCCCCAACCAGCTCCACTAAAGGAAGGCAGAGCTGCGGAAGGAGAACTGCAGGTAGACGAGGAGCAGGCAGAGGGAGGCCCAGAAGAGGCACCAGCGAAGGGAGAAAAAGTTGTAGCCCGAGCCCTCCAGGGCCCCTGGCTTGGAAGCACCAGCGAAAGCGTAGGTCGCCTCCTCCTCCAGAAGCTTCTCGCTGGGCTTCCAATGCACGATGCCCTCCTGGCAGGCCTCGCAGAACTCGCTGCGGTGCTGCCCGCTGTCTGGGCGGCTGGCCACGTGGATACGGTACTGGCCGCCATCCTCCTCGTAGCACTGCTCACGCAGGCTGGTGATGAGGTTGTCCACCAGGCTCTCGATGTTCTCCTCCAGCATGCTGGACTCGTCCAGCCGCGAGGTGCCGCACTCGTAGCACAGCTGCTTGAAGACGCGCATGCGCACGGAGCCCGTCCGCTGGGCGCGGTCCAGGTGCATGTGGAAGAGGATGACCACGTGGGCCGACTGCCAGGTATGCCAGCACCAGGAGCAGTGGAACCTGCGGGGAGGGTTGGGAGAGATGGAGAAGGTGGGCCTCCCTCCCAGCAACAACCAGCCCTGGAGGAGCCTGTAAGGGAGGGGCCCACTGTGCCTGTACCTGGAAGTGGAGGGGGAGTGTTTACGCCCCCGCCCCCGCTCCCGGGTTCTTTAGCGCTCCGGCCTGCCGGCCCCACCTCCTCCTGGTGAGCTCCGCTGAGCCTGGAGCGCCTCCTCAGGAGCCTGGCGCTGCAGTGACCTGGCTTCCAGGAGTGCTCTAAAGCCTGCCTCCTGTGCGCCCTCCCGTGGCCTCAGCTCCCCTCAAACCTTACGTATTCAGAACATGCTCCTGGACACTGCACATGTGCCTGGACACTGCACAGAGGCCTCTCCCCCGGTCTGGGCCTTATTTCTCATCTGTGAAATGCAGGGTGATGGTGTCCAGTAAGAGTCCTTTCTCTCAGACCTCCCATTATTCTGCTAACGGGGATAACCAGCACGTCTCTCTCATGCATCCTGCCTGCTGTGGGGAAAAGAGGAGATACCTCCAACTGTGCCAAGCACAGACCGCTGAGAATAACTCCGAGAATAACCACCAAGAATCCGCTGGATAGACGGGTGGATGGGTGATGGGCCAGCAGCGGGAGGATTACAGCGTCTGCTCCCTGCACCTTCGCAAAGAACACTCTCTTTGGATTTGTCCCTTGACAAATCCTCCCAGGTTCTAGTCTAGCCCTGCAGTAGAGACTAAAAAAGCGGATCCTGATCTGCATCCCCCTCCACACACATGCACACTTACATACACAGAGGCCGTTTTGTCTAACCTGGGCCCTCTAGAGACACAGCCTCAAGAAACATGGAGGTAAATGGCCTGGGACTCATCTAGCCAAACCCCACTCCCTCAGCCCCCACGCAGTGCTTGCACACCTTCAGTGATGGAGCACTCACTATCTCCAGGGCAGTTCTTTCCATCCTTCTTGCAGGCCCTTGTCACAGAGGCTTTACAGACAGTCGAGAGTCCCATGGACTGAGTCTGCCCTCACAGCTGACCCTCTCTGGACCCCCCTGTATGATGGCCCTGAAGGACCTCTGATGAGGAAATTGACTCAGTCCAACAGACACCATTTAGTACGTACTGTATGCTGAGCACCACGCAGCCCAGGCTGTGGGGTAGAGATGAGACCAAGCCTGTCCCTGAGCTCTGGAGCCCATGGACAGCATGAGCACAGAACAGGACCCAGCACAGCCCATGGCTGGGTCAGCGGGGCAGAGCAGTCTAATTAGTCCTGAGCCAAAAGGATGTACCCCCCACACACACACTGGGACAGAGCTGCAGCCCACCAAGGTTAATGCATTCCAAGCCTTAAAGGTAGAGTGAGCCCAGGCAGAGAGTAGGCACAAAGGTGGCAGTTCTCCAGCCCTGCCTGAGGCCAGCTGGGATCCACAGGTCACCAGCCAGGAATAGGACCAGCTGAGCCCTAAGGCAAGAGGACCCACAAGTTGTGGAGCTCATCCCCTAAACCCTGGGGACCCCTGGCCCACGGTCCTGGCACTTTGCACCCCGCCCACAGCCAGCTCAGGAGCTTCATGTTTTCCATCTCCTCCTTCCACAGCTTTCTAAACCAAGCCAAACCAGAGTTGTTTCCCTTCCCTCAAGTCAGACCTTAGATCTTAAATCCCAAAATGTCAGACCTAGCGGGAGGGGACCTTAAGGATCATCCGCTCAGCCTTTCCTTTTACTGAGACGAAACAGAGGCACAGAGAGACAGAGAGCCATCCTTGCACACACGGCTAGTCAGAGCCAGTGCCAGGACCCAGCACATAACAGGTACCAAGAGATGTCTCTTGAATTGATTTGAACTAAAAGGAACCAACCAACCTCTGACTCTCTGTCTTTTGTCCTGAAGACAGGTTCCCTCTAATATTTGTAGGTCTTGGAGCAAGTGTGCAAATGTAAGCTCTCTACCCACAGCCTACTTTCTCCTGTTCCCACCTTCAGCACCACGCTGCACCACCAGGGGCTTCACATACAAACACGTGAAACATATCAGTATCCGCACCTCCAGAACACAGCCACCTGTTGGCCCCCCAGGGGCTCAGAGGTACTGTCTGTCCTTGAATCCATGGACCCAGGGAAGAGGCCTGCATAGACCATGGAGATGAGCTTGAGGCAGCTCTGACAGGGAATTCTGTGGTTGCAACCCCAAATCCCAGTCTACAAGAAGGAGAGGCATGTGGGCTTCAGATGGACATGTCCCGTTGGCCTTAGGGACTCCTTGAACTATGAGAGAGACACAGCTTCTGTGAAACATGAGATGCCAGGCCCTAAGGACCCACAGGAAGTCCTGTGCAAAGCCACATCTTTTTGTCGCAGACCCAAAGATAATAGAGCTGGAAGGAATTTGATTGATCATCTGGTTTTGCAAATGTGAAAACTGAGACCCAGAGATGGAAAGGTACTTGCCCAAGTTGAGAGAGTTAGTTAACTGTAGGGCCAATTTCTAGAGCATAGCGGGTGGTCAATAAATGTCTTTCTGTTCAAATCTAATGGGATTGAGATGACTGAACAGTCCTAGGACCAGAGCACAGGGCCTCCATCTCTAAGCTAAGGCTTTCCCCAGTGGACCTCATGGCCTCCTCCCCTCAGTTCCCACCCCTCTTTAAGAGATTATGAAAATAAGAAAACATCTAAACTGTCAGAGACTGCAGGTGCATTGAAGATATTACAGCCTTCATTTACCATGGAAAACCTAGACCCAAAGATAGAACACTACTTGCCAGAGTCACCCAGGGAGTCCATGGTACATCTGGAATTAGAATCAGGGCCTCTTCAACCCACTTGTGAGTTCCTTCTCTTCTCCTCGACCTGAGCTGGACCCAGGACTGAGCTCCACACATTTCTCTGTCTCCCCTTGGAAGGTGCTCCCAGGGCGGTGGTCCAGGGGCTGCCTGCTGGGCCCCTCCTCCCCACGCCTCTCACCTGCCTGAGGCGTGTTGCTCCAGGTACTGCTTCCAGCCAGGGGCCAGCTCGTTGGGCTTGAGATTGGGATCTATGATGAGTTCCCAGCTGTCAGCCGGCTTCGCCACCTCCATCTTCTCATAGAAGACTTTCTTCCATTCACAAGTTGTCAGGCTGGTAGACATGGCCCTGCTGTCAGGGATGGAAGTTTGAGTTCAACCTGAGTGAAAACACAGAAAGAGCCCGGGTAGGTACAGTGCAGTTGAGTGTCTGTGGTCTGAAAATCCTCATCAACAGGACCAGGAGGAAACAGGACCCAGCAACCTCCTTTGTCACCCTGGAATCTGTTACCATGGTAGCTGGGCAAGGTGCCAAGATTCAGGGCTGGGGAGGAGGGAAGTCCCAAGGGAGAGTTCCAGGGCCCTGAGCTGGGCTTGGGAGGCAGGGCTGCGTACTGATACCAGCTAAGTAGAGCGAGCAGGTGGGGAGGCGAAACTCCAGATGACAGTCACTCACCTAGACCTCCGGGGGTCTCCAGGAGGCAAAGACTGTCCGGTGGCCCTGCCTCACCCTACTGCTCTTCCAGACGGTCTCCACATCATGTGCTATGCTAACTATGACACCCAGGAAGCCAAGGAGAAACAAGGGAGAGGGAAATGCAGAGCCTGCAGCTCCCATGCCCCATGATGTGCTCAGGGCATCATTTACCGTGTGCCAAGCGCTAGCTGCTTGATCTGTGTGCTGGTCATGGTGGAGATTATTTCCCACTTCATCCAGATCAGGAAGCTGCAGTTTATACACTTCTAAGTGGTTCATCCAATTCAGATCCAGGCCTTCCAAAACCAAGCTCATTTGTTCATTTATTGCAGAACTGTTGAGCTGCTAATGCATAGGGATTAAGAAAGAAGTAACATGTGGTCCTTTTGCTTGGGGAGATCCCAGACCAGTTGATGAGATAGAATGTAATTTAGCATGCTGCGAAAAGCACAGTAATAACATTTCAGATTCATAGAGTCATAGAATTGTTAGAGTTCATATTTGGTTCCTGTCCCAGGCCACATTAAGGCAGCTGCTGGAGGAACAAGTTTATTCTGTGCTACAGACTCCTGCTGCCTCAGCTGCTGCAGAAAGAGGCCAGGCAATAGGGTACCCACAGCTCCCTGATGCCCAGTTTAAATACTTTAGAGACTAGGAGGAAACTCAACTCCAAATTTGCATAATCCAGATGAAGGAACAGTCATGGTAGGGAGGCAGCCAGGGCAGGGAAAAGACCAGCTGGTTTGGCAGCTTACTCCAGCTCTGCAGCAACATCTGTGTGGCCTAGAATCCAATCATTTCCCTCAGTGGACTTCAGTCTTCTGCCCACACAGGGGAGGTTGTGCCTGATAGCATCTAAGGCCTCTTCCAGCTGTAATCATCTTATAGTTCTTTAATCTGGAAGTCAGATCCCTAGACATGTGGAGCACAGAGTGAAGAGCGTGCAGAATTGGAAAACATTGCTAGGAACTAGGAGGCAGGTTTTCAGTGTTGAGTTCCACTTGGCACTTGCCTCAAAGTGGTTTGTGCGTGGGAATGAGGTAAGGGACAACACCATTGGATCATCTCTTGGAATGGGGAAGTGTCTTCTACCAGCTGTGTGCGAAAGTTCTCAGAAAGAACAAAACGATGTCTCAGAGCCATCAACTGAAAGCTCGAGAAGGGGTTCTTTATTTTTAAAAATCTAATGTCTTCATTGAACTCTCCAGCTCATAACCTAACTCTCTTGACATTGAATTCAGAGGTCTGAAGCTTGAAAATGGGAAATTACTTGGCCAAGGCCTCAGGAACAGGCTGCTCCCAACTCACTGGCGGCTGTCTCTGGTGTTCAGCTACCAGCCGAGGTGAGATGGGGTCCCATGAGTTCCCAGGAATTGAATGAATTGAGGAGCTTATAGCCCAGTCTAGAGACACATACCAGGAGTGAGTCTCTGAGACATATTGTGCCACTGTTCCCAGAACAAATGACAAAGAAGGAAAAACAAAAAGATAGAGGGTGAGTGTTTATTATTTGTCTTTACTCAAATGATGCAATCCCCTTAGGCCTAGTACCAGGTTTAATTTAGAGTATGAGCCGTCTAAGCAGAGACCAATATAATTCATCTTTCTGTATAATAGCCCTGTGTTCTCTCAACAAAAACCTTGCTTGTGATACAATCAGTGAACACAGTTACTACCTCAATTTCCTGCGAATGCTATTCGTTGCTCCAGAAGTGATAATTTAAGAGCTCATTAATCACTAAATGTGTACAGCTGTGGCCACATCACACACTGGCTGCTTCATTATTTATTGCTGCCGTATTTTTAATTTAGATAATACCTTTTAAAATAATGTTTTTCCTTTATAAAATAAAATGCTGTGCACCTGTATTCTGCAAACAAAATTGCCAAAGGGGAGGGGCATAAAAGAACCTGTCCCCTCTTCAATTTGGAATGTGGGTTAATAGATACTTTTGTAAAATGTCCATTGCTTAAATGTTACTTATTAGCATAATATGAGGAATGTCAATGTGGAGCCTAAAATATACAAGTCATGAAGAGGGGGAGGTAAGTATTTATCACTTAAGTGCTTTTGAAAGGACTTACCCCAGAGATTTCAATACATGGTCTTGAGGGGGGATGTGCCCCCTCCACCCACTCCAGTCCTGGGATGAAGCCCTGCCACTGCCAGCCATTGTTACTAGTGAGAATATGTTGTCCCGTAGGCATCTTGGGGCCAAAAAAAGGAGAAGGTTGAGTAAAACTGTGTTAGTGGTTCAGGATATTTCTTAACTAAAAAACAAACCCGGAAGACATGCAAGCTACATCTTGTCTTCCCCTATCTCTCCACAATTCAAAGAACTGTGGAAGGTGCCACAGGGAAAATCCAAGGTCCCCAAGGAATCTTATTCGATAGCTGTTAGGAAGGCCTCTCCATCCCCAGGATGCAGCACGCGGAGGCAGCATGGTCCAAGCTCCACTCTTTGTGGGGTGGAAGGAGAAGACACACAGACTCTATTCCTGCTGGATTCAAGGATCCAAATTCTATGTGCCACGCTTCGGCGCACCCAAGTCTGTGTTAAGGGTGGCCATAGCTGCTGTCACTTTTATCAGGGACTCATGATCCTAGGCAGAGATTTGGTGAAGAGTTGTGACACTATTTATGGGACGTACATAAATAAAAAGAGAGAAGAGGGAGCAGGGAGTGCTCCCTGCAAGGAGGAAAAAGAAGATGGAGGTTGAGTAACTGAGTTAGTGGTTCCGCAAGGAAGAATATAGAATTATCTGCTGAAAAAAGACAGTCAGACTCAGGGAGTGTGGAGATACTTTCATCAGATGCAGCCTGTGCTGACTTCTGTCAGAGCATCTGAGGGCCTCCATCAGATTTCCTTAGCTGGACTCAGAGAAGTTGCCAGTTTCTGATGAGCGGAGGCTCAGCACAGACACACAGATAACCACGACTCCTCTCTGGGGCAATCCCAGGCTTCATGACAAAGTGAAAAGGAAGCATGGAGAAGCTTATGCTGACTCTTGAAGCTTCCATTCTGAAATGACATTTGTAACTTTCCCTCACATTCCTTTGGCCAAAATAAGTCATACAGCCAGGCCTACAGCTGGGCAGGGAAATATATCTTGCCAAAGAGGGTGGGAGGGCACTTTAAGGAGTAGTACCAAATGTTTTCAACAATAATAACATCCATCACAGAACCCTCCTGAATTATGGGTACCTTCCTGGAACAGTGGAGCTAAACAGGTTCTGTGGTGTGGTGTAGTCAGAAATCCTGAATTCTAACTCTTATTCTTTCACTAAGTGTCCTATGACCTTAGTGAAAAAGAGACCCATGGAGCGTAGAGACCTCATGTCCTAGATTCTCCAAAAAGATCTGCATTTCAAGGCCATGATTTCTCTAAGAGTATGTGTGCTTAGCAGACTATAAGTTGTAAACCTTAATCTAGATCCTTGGGGATCATGCCTTCAATTCTAGCAAAATGGCTTTACTAAAGTCCCTTGCATAGTTAGGCAGAAAGACATTCGTAAAAATGGTTATTAACAAACTTGAAACATGCATTTCAACACCCCAGCTTCTAACCACTCCCAAGATTGTTCCAGAAGACATCATCCTTGAGGTTGGCAGTGAGCATGCTACTCTGTCTAGTTCCAGTTATTAAAGGAGAGGATTATAAGGACCAGCCTTTCCACTGATCACAAATTTAAAAATTCTGGTTAAAATATTATTTATAGAAGAATTAATTATATGACAAGGTGGTAAAGCACCATTAGGCCAAAATCTACGTGAAGGCAGGAACCCAGAAAGATGAGCAGAGCATTGGCGTTTTTACTCTGAAGGCAGTTGCCAAATCTGCTGAAATGGAGCTGTCGTATTTAATCCCTTCAGAGGACGCAGGACAATGGAAGACACAGCCCAGGGTCCACCCAAGGCAGGAGCATAATAAGAGACACTTTGCCCAGAGAGCTGGACCACAAAGGGTCGTACCTTCAGGAATGGTGAATGGGAGGCACCAGCCCTGGCCACAACTCCCAGAGGACTTCAAGGATAATTGCCTTGACCATGAGGAGGGAAAGGTATTGAATCGCTTCAGAATTGGATAAATACTTACCTTGTAATGATATGGGCATAGCTACTAAATAAATAGGAGGAACAGAGCATATATAACTTTTGTACTAAGAGACAGAAAATAGTGTAATTATTAGAAAACACATAATCCAAAAGAAAACAAGAAGGAGAGAAAGATAATCAAATATAGTGAGACAAAGAGAAAGCAAAAAATCAGATAATGGATATAAATCTAGATGTATTAGCAAATGCATTAAGCCTAAGTAAACTATATGTCCAGTTAAACAGCAAATATTGTCTGACTGAATTAAAAATAAACTCAAATTACAATCTCAATAGAATATTGTTAGACACTCTCCTGATTGGCAAAAATAAAAATACCTGATCATGCCAAGTGTTGGTGAGGAAGTAGGGTAGCATGAACTGTCATGGACAGTTGGTGGAAATTTAGATAACTCTTTTGGGGGACCATCTGTCATTGCAGTGCAAGGCTGAACATTCAAGGACCCTATGATCTAGCAATTATATTCCTGGGTGTGTATCACTGAGAAATTCTTTCACATTTTCACCAGAATTCATCTATGAGTTCATAACCTCATTTTTAAGAATGACCCAGATTATATTCCAATTTCTCTCTATCCCATTCTATTCCTTTTCTTTCATTCTATTCCTTTCCATCTCATTCCATTCTTTTCCATTTCTCTCCACAAATGTCCATCAGCAGAATGGA